AACAAGTGAGGTTGATCTCACTCCTTTAAATCAAGCTATTTACTGCTGGCGCACTAGTGTTTTTAGCTTTTAACTTTTTATGGTGTTAATAGAGGCTACAAATTGCATGAGATGCAAATTGTGCTTAATCATGCTATTCCCTAGGCATGTGTATTCATACATAATTTTCTTTAAGTTAGGCAACTAGTTATTTTGTTCATCACTGGCTTAACTACCTGTAAAGCAACTTTTCACCTTACATATTCTCAAAATATTAAGAAAAATAAATCTTGTATAGTGAACAAGCTAACCTTTCAAATATTCTCTCCCGCCTACAGCACTAGTTGCTACAAATAGGGTGAGCTATGATTGGACAAGATACATCTTGGTCACTAACTGCCTCTCAACACTTCAAAGCGGATGTTTCCATGTTGCGCTTGAGCGGGCCTCATTTAATGATCTCTGTTTACTAGTTTGGCTGTTACTCATTTATGCGGATAACACCAACTACTCAGACATTTTCGTGAACCTACTTTGTTTTTGCCGTAGCTTGTGAACGATGCGTGCCTGTCCTTGCATACACTACTTCCAATAGGAAGGATGTTGAGGACCAGGACATGGAGAGCTGCATGCCACTTATGCTTGCAACATGGTCAGTAGAAGTTTTTTGTGTCAACTGAGACCCTAGATTTGGCGTAGGTAGAGCACATGATGATGCCTTGAAAAGCCCTATTCTCAAAAAGTTTGTAGTCTATAGTTATGCGAAACTCCATTCAACCCGACCCAAAGCATGTTTGGAAATCGTCCCAAAGCTACATGAACTTCAGAGGAACAGTGCCATGCTTTTGAAGGGACACTTCTTGCCACTCAACAGGGTAGATTGAGAAACTGTCTGCCTATTCAATAATAGCACACACAAATTATGAATGTGCGAAAGGCTTTAGAGATGCAGGTATAGGTAAAACAGCGGTAATGGTCATAATTCCTATCTTCGCTATCGTTAAGTTTACAGCGAAATAATTAACACCATGGGTAGAATAGGGACTCCATCCTGCCCCAGACATCAACATTACCACTCTCAAAAAGTAGACTTTTATGACACATTTCTTATTCCATGCTTCAGACAATCACTTTCGGATTAATCCCATCAAGTAATGAACAAATTACTGATGGAATGAAATAGTATCACATGCCAAGATCTTATATATAGTAGAAGCAGGGGACAACCAGAATGTATTAAATAGATTTGGAGGCATGTCGCTGATATGTATACAATGGTATTTCATGAAAGTCCCTTCTAAAAGGTGACCGATCCCATAAACCAAATTGTCATTTCTCCATATACATATAAAATAGCACTTTCGTCTAACAGAGGTACATGAATATCCCCCTTTTAAATGTCTAATGAGTGTCCTATTTGATAGACATTAGTGCAATCGGAGAAAGCGAAACCTTAGTCATAAAAAGGCGTAGTAAAACAGCGACGTTTGTATTATAGAAGTGACACGAGATGGTTGGGTTTGATGGATGGTCGTGCTCGTATTAAACCGCATGTGCTTAGGACACATAAAAACGAAATCCAACCTGAGAGTTAAAACACTCGATACCAAGACA